TCTCTCTCTCTCTCTCTCTCTCTCTCTCTCTCTCTCTCTCTCTCTCTTTCTCTCTAAGCCCTGCATGGACAAATGTGTACCATCAGTGATAATATGATTGTTTTTTTATCGTATCGAATATATCGATTGATTTTGTTATCCATTTTATTCGGTTTTTGTATTAGAATTCAAAATTTCTTATATGATCGATGCCAAGAGCAATCTCATTTCAAGAGAATGATATCGAACACTTATGTGCTTTCAACATTCATTTGCGATTTTTCGTTGGGTTCTTCTTTCTATAAGAGCCAACGAGATTTTTCAGACAAAAGAAATTGAGCCGTAAATATGTGTCATGTTGCTTGACACTTTAACAGACATTGTGCCAAATATGCATTAAAATATCGGTTCCTTCACGGAACGAAGAAAATAAAAACGCAGAAACACTAAAATGCAGAAAAATAAAAGCAGAAAAAATAACACAGAAAAAAAATCGCAGAAGAAAAAACGCAGAAAAAATAAACGCAGAAATCAAAAATGCAGAAAAATAAACGCAGAAAACAAAAACGCAGAAAAATAAACGCAGAAAACCAAAAATGCAGCACAATAAACGCAGAAAAACAAAAATGCAGAAAAAACGCAGAAAAATGTAAAATAGATAGATAAACCGTGGTGGTTGACCTCAATAGCAGTGTTAAATGTTGTTACACTGAGATAAACATGTCAGTCGAGATCTCTTTTTAAATTCATAAGATTTTTAAGACAAAAATATTTTTGTTCAGTTTATCAAAAAAAGAAACCTCTGTCGAGTTGAAGAACGAATGACGGAAACAAAATTTGAAACACAAAAATTCTGATATCAATTTGGTGATGAAAATAGTTGGTAGATATTTTTTCTGTGTATTGTGAATTAAAACGAATATACATTTATATATTTGGAACGTTGATTACACTTAAAGTAAAATGAAGAGTCTTACAGGAGTAAGACGAACTTTTCCGCACGGTGGAAGATGCGTATTTTATTAAGCTAGTTCAAAATCATATTTGTTCGATTTTTAAAGCCTCTCAAGCGGCGTTAAGTTCGAGGCCAAAAAATATGTTCAAACTTTAGCATCGAAATATTCTTTAATTTAATAGCAGAAGTACTCGTAAAAGATTTTTCACACTTTCATGATGAACTCATTTGTATGACATTTGAAAGTATCCTATTTTCTAACAAAACATTATAAAACCTATGCTACCTTAATGACGTGAAACTTTGCACAGGTTATTTTCTACACAAAAAAATAACATTCTGAAAGTTTGAAGAAACAATCAAAATTAAGAGTACCTCCTAAGACTCTTTATTTTACTTTAAGTGTAATCAACGTTCTAAATATATATTCATTTTAATTCACAATACACAGAAAAAATATCTACCAACTATTTTCGTCACCAAATTGATATCAGAATTTTTGTGTTTCAAAGAAGCGATTACTGCCTAAAATGATAAAAAAATAAAATTAACGTATAGTTGGCACTACATTCTATGTAATAAGCGTATACTTTCCACTTAGTCCGTTGCAACCGAAAACAAGTTTGCATAGAATGCAGCGCCAGCTATATGTGAATTTTATTTTTTATCGTTTTAGGCAATAAATCTATGGTTTTCTTATGGCTTCTTTTGTTTTCGTCTTTCGTTCTTCATCTCGACAGAGGTTTCTTTTTTTGATAGACTGAACAAAAATATTTTTGTCTTAAAAATCTTAGGAATTTAAAATGAGATCTCGACTGACATGTCCATCTCAGTGTAACAACATTTAACACTGCTATTGAGGTCAACCATCACGGTTTATCTATCTATTTTACATTTTTCTGCGTTTTTTCTGCATTTTTGGTTTTCTGCGTTTATTTTGCTGCATTTTTGGTTTTCTGCGTTTATTTTTCTGCGTTTTTGTTTTCTGCGTTTATTTTTCTGCATTTTTGATTTCTGCGTTTATTTTTTCTGCGTTTTTTCTTCTGCGATTTTTTTTCTGTGTTATTTTTTCTGCGTTTATTTTTCTGCGTTTTAGTGTTTCTGCGTTTTTACTTTCTTCGTTCCGTGAAGCTACCAAAATATCAGACTGATTGTGTTAACGTAATCACTGCTTGCATATAGTGTGTAAGCTGATATTGTTGAAATTTGGGGACTGCGCGAGAAACTGGAGTCTGTCAATCCCAAATAAATATTTAGATATTAGTTGAGAATTTATATTCATCGCTTTTATTTTCGACGCATTGTAATTGGTGCGTTCATTGGTCTTTCCAAAACAGGCGACAAATATAAAATAAATTGCGGTCCTCATCTAGCTTTCGTCTCAAATATACCTGCAATGAAAAACAAAGCAATACAATATATGTATTGGAATGTGCGTTGGTTTTGTGCTCCATTCGGGTTATAGCAATTACTTAATTCAGTGCATGAAAACAATTTAACCGAATAAAAGGCGATTAAATGTATTTTTCGTCGTCTTAGTCATTGTTTTTCGGGACCTACGACCATCAATGATTAAAATTAATGAATTCCAAAGAAATAATGGCAAGTATTTTACGATTAAGTCAATTTCGACGTAAATAAACAAACACAAATACACACACAGCATGCACTGATGAACATTTCCACCTAAAAACATTATAAATCTAATTAATATACAGCTCAAAGCATTTGAGTGGTTCTTCTACGAAAAAAAGGGAAACATGCTATCATTTCTTGTATGCACGAATGCTGTGCGGCCCATTTGAAAGAGAAAATGGCTTTGTTGTTTAATACCAGAAAGAAGATTAGATTAACGTTCAGCTCGTTTGTTGTTCGATCGAGAGTGAAAAAAACAACAACAAGACATTCAGACTTATTTACATGCGTTTCAACATCACTTGTTAATTTTGTTCACTTTTGTTAACACCGTCACAGCAACAGTCAAAAGAAATCGGGGCGTCAAGCCGTTTTTCATCTAAATGGTTCGAAAAAATATACGAGCATGTGTCGTGGTAAATGTAAATTATTCAAACATTTTAAGCCTTACCGTTTTACACAATACAAAGCACTTTTCCAATCACAAATCCTATTGGCGAAGGTTTTTTTTTTGTTCAATTTCCAATCATTATATGTATGCGTACTGTACGATATACATACAAAAGAAAGGCTGCGCTTCACAAAGCATATGCGATTATTTGATAAATGCAAATCAAACGTTATTCAGAAGGTAAACGTTTGCCATCGTTTTTGAAGAAGTGCTTGTCGACAACAATGAAATTAAATAGCCTGCGAATATGCTAAACGAGCGTATCTCTCACTCGCTCACTTTCGCTCACTCCAGTTATGTGTCTGTTTGATTCGGGCGTTTTGCGTGTTTGTCAATATCTTTGCAGCTTTACGAGAGTCGAATACGTATAAGGTGAACAATTGAAAAGAGATAACTTTGCGGCAAGGAAACAGCAGGATGATAGAGTCTTGAATATCATTGTCAAAAGAAATCGCTTTAACCGAACGGTGCTTCACTGCCATTGTAAAACGATGGCAAAAGATGTTTGTGTGCATTAGATTTTCGAATTCAAGATATACAAACTGTGCCCAATGTTTAAGGCTGTTCGAATTGAATTTATTGTGTGTTTGTGTGGATGCGGTTTTCTTTTTCTGTCGAATTCTTCATTGAGAGATTACATTCGACTGAAATTGAAGGTGCGCGCGTACCAAAAGCAAAGGCTCATAATATGCTAATGGCAAACACAAAATCGATTTGTGCAATTTATTTGCGCGATAGCAACGCCGAACGCCAGCAACAGCACACACACA